ATTTTCAAGGAGATTGCCCATATCCTACCCAACTGTGTAGTCTAAGGTTAAATGAAAAACAAAAACAAAAGCTTGTGAATCAAGTTCCTTCTACTTTGTAGGTATAAGGTATTGGGTAATAATTGAATGATATTCATTAAAGAATGTTGATGAATAAATATTAGTTCTCTTCCCCCTTTTTAAGTTATAAACATATTGGAATTCATCTTACCAGGGATTAAGCACAGGCCCTTGTAAATAAACGTGCAGTCAGGAGTCTTTTTATGCTATAGACATTTGGTGATGCGGTTAAGTCTTCTCAGAGCAGTGGTTTTAAATTCACAAAATAAAATACAGAAATACAAAGGAAGCCAGTTACAATAATGATATAGTTATAAAAATATTTTTAATGGAAATCTGTAGCATTGTGATATACATGCTTCTTCGTTAACTCACTAAATAACAATGTCCAGTGGTGGGTCTAAAAACTGCTGTAAATTTGAAATAATAATGAGTGTTAATGATACTTCAAGGTGTCTGCCCCAAATGCAACATGATATGAAAATACCTGCATGATTTCCATTGCTAACTGAGTCACAGGTACTATTAATGTGACATATTATAATTAAAGAAAATGCCCAAGTTCTATTAGAATTTAGTGAAAATAAAGACGTACTTTCTTTCAAGTTCATAAAGACCCTGATTCTGTCCACAGACTCTTTGGAAGTGCATCAGCCTCAGGTTAAAAAAACTCTTCGACTGACTGGAGAAGTGCCTCCCACCCAGCGTGCACAGTGCTGGATGTCAGAAAGCTAGATATGTACACAGAGGAGTTGCTCAGGGTCCCCTTTCTCCTTGATGTCTCAGTCTAGCCAGATGGGACAGGAAACTGACTGAATGTGATAAGCTACATTGGACCTTCCAACCAGCCCCAAAGTAGAGAAACATTAAGGGAAAAGGAGACATCACAAAGGAGATGAAAATTTGTGATAGGTAGGCTTATAATAACCCACTCCTTCATTTTTCTCCGCTGTGTATTGAAACAAAATCACCACGTGCAATTGTACATACTGTACAATTGTACATAATTGTTCAATTAATTGAACTCTGTGTGTGTGTATGAATCCTGTGACTATTTCAGCGGAGACCAAAAGTTATTTGGCTTATAACATAATAGCTGTATTTTAAGTCTCAGTGTTACCCAGTTCACTTGCCCAGTAGTGAGTTACCTTTCTGCTCTATTCTTTCCAGTTTATTTCTTATCATTTATTGTGTCAGACATACTTGGGCCTATGAAAGAAATAGTTTTTCTTATATATTACATAATTTAAATATACTTTTTCTAAGATAAATTAAAAATGCTTTATGTTCTTTTAACGCATCTTCCTTCCTTTTTTGTTTGTTTGTTTTTGTGGTTCAGTGTGACCAATGGTGGGAAGACAACACTGGCCAAGAATTTGCAGAAACGCCTCCCAAACTGCAGTGTCATATCTCAGGATGATTTCTTTAAGGTATTAATAAAGCTTCTAGATAATTTATTTAACACAAAAAAGTTATAGTAGCAAAGTTAATTGGTTTACATCCAAAAGCCTTGGCTGGTTGACTGGGCTTTTGTAATGGAGAAGGTAGTCTCCATGCAGTAGTGTTACTTGTCCACTAGATGCCACATTTATGGAAGCTTCTTTGATTCCATTTATCCTCATCAGCCAAAGCATTTGTTAAAATAAAGGTTTATCACCTCTTCATTCTTTAATTGTATTATTTCTGCACTGCACAGTTCTGATTAGTACTTTATTGTTTTTTCCAGCCAGAGTCTGAGATACGGACAGACGAAAATGGATTTCTGCAGTATGATGGTAAGCAGATAAGCTTACAAAACATTATGCTCTAATGTTCATTTTCTTTTTCAAACCCAAGTAACTTCACTAAGTAACCAGTCTCAAAATATATTTAAACAGATTGCTATACTTTAAACCTGCTTTCATAAGAGTTTCTGATTTATGTTCAGCTATTTAAATAAATGAAACCTTTTCCCCAGTTTTATAGTTAAAACTGGAAATATTGGGACAATGGATTTTTCTTTTTAAGGTGGGGCAAGGTGGGTCTCTGTTATTCTCCACATCCCTGCATACAGCCCAACCCTCTCCCCTCTTGCCTGGAGCAAACTCTAAGCCTGCCCATCCTCTGAGCTTACCTTCCCAGGGACCAAGTTACTGGGCAGCTGTTTTTTTCTATTCATTGCTCAAAAAGATTAGTGAATATTTTTCAGATGGATTCACTTCACTCCCTTGCCCAATCTAACACTTTTTGAAGTTAAAGGAGTAAAGTACATCAGAAAAACATCTACTTACCTATAAAGAATATAACTAGTAATCTGTATTTAATGATGTTATCATGTTTTATAATTAACAAGATGATTATTGAGTCCTTACGCAAACTAGCCACAGAGAGAGCTCTCTTAAAGAACCATAAAATTAGTTCTTTATTTTGAACTTTGATAACCTTGGAGGAAAAATGACGTGTTAGTTCTTACAGACACATGATAATTCTGAGAGGCAAAATCCTTACAGACACATGATAATTCTGAGAGGCAAAATCCTTGACTGGCTGTCTCTTCTTGTGTCTTGAGCTATAGCCAGAATAATTTTTTCTTTCTCTTTCCCTTTTCTAAAGGTTAGCAAGGAAGATTATTACAAAGTAAGATTTAAACAAGGAAAAACTGTTTTCAATAGTTGACAAAGAACGATTCCTAACTTAAATGAGTTTTTACAAACTGATAAGAAACACAGACACAAAAGGTTATTTGATTAGTAAATGTACAATGGAAAGTCAACTTCAAAAGTAGTCAAAGAATTATAACATATTTTCCAACTTACCTGGTAAACAGGTTTTTAAAGCAATGATAATGGCATAGGCCCAATAAAGCAAAAACTTATAAATTGGAGTATAGATTGGTACAGTCTTTTCTGGAAAGGAGATTGAGCGTATGTCCCAAAGACCTTAAAATGTTCATGCCATGTGTTCAGGTGTCCCACTTCTAGAAATCTATCTTAAGAAGAAATCTGAACGTTTCAGATAAATGCACAAATTTAAGGTAAGTCAAGGTAATGTTGAAATCTTTATAACTACCAAAAGAATAGTATATAGTTACCACATTTATAAATATATGGAATCACTCAAATATTATTGACAAATACAAAAGTGAAAAACAGAGAACTAAAATATCAAAAGATGGTAGAAAAGCAGAAGATGGTAGTAAGATGATAGTTTTAAATCAAATATATCAGTAGCTACATGAGGTTAAATGAACTAAAATAAAATACTCCAGAGATAGACTGGCTTTAAAAGCCAACTGTAAGCTTCTTATAAGAGGTATATTTGAACATTAGAATACAGAAAAGTAGACAGTAAAAGGCTAGAAAAAGATATACCATGCAGACACCTACTGAAAGAAAATTGGTGTAGCTCTACTAATATTAGACAAGGTAAAGTTTAAGGCTAAGAGTGTTACTAGAGAAAAGAGAGATAAATGAATCAATTCAACTGGAAGATAAAACAGTCTAAAGTTTGTAATAATGTGACCTCAAAATACATTAAGCAAAAACTGACAAAAATAAGAGGAGAAATAGACAAATCTATAATTATTGTGGGAGATTTTATATAATTTCTCTAGTAATTAATGGAACAAACTGACATTATGAGAGTCTTACAGATTTGAACAACACAATTAACGAAACTTGACCAAACTAACATATAAAACATACCAACAATAGCCGAATACACATTTTGTCCTCGAGAACACATGGAACGGTAGCCAAAATGGAAGGCATACACAAGGAGATGCAGGCAAGTCCTAATACACTTCAGTGGACTGAAGTAATACAGAGATATCTTCTAATCATGGAGAACTGAATTAAAAATCAATAGCAAAAGAGTAAGTAGAGAATTCCCGAGTGTTTAAAAATTAATCAGTGTCTTTTTTCTAATGTTTAAGAACCTTTTCTTGTGGAAAATTTTGACTGAACTCTCATGAATTCACTATTATACTTTAAAAATGAACTCTTGGCCAATTATATTTCATCTGTACCCTCACCCACTTTCTCCTATATTATTCTGAGGCAAATCCTGGACATCATCACATTTTTCTGAAACAAAACACTTCTGTATATCCTGTGAGTCAAAGATTAAATCTCAATGAAAATTAGAAAATATTTTTAACTGAATGATAATGAAAATATATTAAAAGTAATGGTACTTATGGTTCCAGCCAAGATGGCTTGGCCCCATTCCTTGCTCTTCCTCCTCCTTAAAACTAAAAACCCTGAATGGAACACAACAAACAAGGAAAGACTCTGAAAGATGAAAAGAAGAGAGAGCAGACTGACTAGGGACTTTGGAACTTGAAGGAGGACATGGCTGTGAGTTCCCTGGGCCTTTATTTATTTATTTATTTTCTGCCATGTATCTGGAAAGGGATGATGGAGAAGTGTGCAACATGGAACCATCAGTAGGTGCACACAAAAACTCCCAAGAAACTTGTCCCTTATAGTCAAAGGACTAGAAAAAGGGTGGCCTAGCAGTATAGAAAATTATTTTGATAATACCCACCTTACTCTAGTCAAACACAGAAGGGAAAATGAGCCTCCCTCACGGTGTTAGCAGGGCCAAGTGGAGGGCTGGACTTCTGGACCCATCAGCACCCATAAGACAGGATGTGCTGGCTTTCCATATCATCCGTAAGGATCATATAAGTGGTGCCATACAGGGAACTGAACTTCCACACTGTCCTGGCAGCAAAGAGATAGAATAAGGCAGTGTGAGGTGCTGCTAGTAGGGCAGGACCCAATGGAGAGCTGAACTTCTGTCTTCACTGAGCTGTATTGAAACCACACCAGCACTCTGCTTTCTTCTTTCTCCCCCCACAGCCACCGCCCCCCACCTCAGTATCGGTGAGGCCCAGCAGGCAGCTGAACATCCACCCTTCCTGGACCTGCACACTACACCTAAACAGGGTGACTGCCTGCAAAAAAAGAAAAAAGGATTAACTAGGATCCAGAACCTCATAAGATAATACCCCAAATTTCCAGGATTAGACTGAAAATCATTTGTCATATTAAGAACCAGACAGCTTTCAACTTGAATGAGAAAAGACAGTCAGACACCATCACCACGATGACACAGATGTTGGAATTCTCTGAAGGATTTTAAAGCAGCATCCATAAAAAGGCTTCAACAAGCAATTGTGAACATTCTTGAATCAAGCGAAAAATTAGGAGGCCTTAATAAAGAAAGAGAAGATGTTAAAAAGAATCAAATGGAAATTTTAGAACTGAAAATATTCAATAACTGGCAGTTTAAAACTCACTGGATGGGCTTAACAGCAAAATAGATATGACAAGAGGAAAAAAAGTCAATGAACTTGATTGAAGACAGAACAGTAGAAATTACACAATCAGAACAACAGAGAGAAAATAGACTGAAAAGGAACAGAAATGTGGGACAATAACAAAAGATCTAACATTCATATCATTGGAGACTTAGCAGGAGAGGAGGGAGTGGTACTGGAAAAATATTTGAATAAGTAATGGGGTAAAACATCTCAAATTTGGCATAAGACTTGAACTGATAGATTGAAGAATCTAAGTGATCCTCAAATCGGTTAAATGAGACTGATGAAGAAAAAAGAGAAGGCACAAATAAAAATATAAAAAAAAACAGCATCACTAGAGATCCTATAAAGATTCTATAAAAAGGTGAGGATATTGTGAACAATTTCATGCAAATAAATGTGAAAACTTAAATGAAACTGATAATTTCCTAGAAAAATGCAACTTTTCAAAACAAACACTAGAACAAAGAGGAAATCTTAATAGCTCTTTATCTATTAAATGAATTGATTCATAATTTTAAAACTTTCCACTATAAAACCTCTAAGCCCAGATGGCTCAACTCAGTAGTTCTGGAGTGGGACTGAGAATTTGCATTTCAGAAAAGTTCTAAGATCTCAGGTGATGCTGATGCTGTTGGTGACACTTTGAGAATCATTGTTTAGGATACTTTTCTAGAATTAAGCACTAGAAGTATGCACATTTTTGAGTTTGAGAATGACATATTTGTGTCCTTTATAAATTCCTGTAGTGATTTTCCTCTTACTTATCTGTGAGAGCTCTTTATATATTAAAAAGCATTCTTTGACAAATATGTTGCTGGTATTTTCCCTAGTGTGTTGTTATCTTTCACACTAATTTATAAATACTTCATCATCCAAAAATATTAAACTTTTATATGATTGGAGGGAATAGAAGTTATAAATAAAGCAGTGAGTTAGTCAAAGTTGGTAATGGGGACATGGGAGTTCATTGTACTCTATGCTCCACTTTTATGTATGTTTAAAATTTTCCAGAATGAAAAATGTATCACATATACCAACTTACCAATATTAGCGTTTAGATTTGTTATCTAAAATATTTGTTAATTAGGTATTTTGAAGGTAAATAGAATAGTGTTATTTCATATACTTATAGACCACTGGATATACTCATCATAAAAAGCCACAGCACGAAACTTTTGCTGTACTGATTTCATATTTC